TATATATATATATATATATACACACACACACACACACACTGTATACATATACACATTCATATACAGTATATATCCGAGGCTGGAGGCTACCAATGCCTGACTATTGGAAGCAGTGCTAGGTCTGGACAGACACGTCATGGCGTTGAAGCCGCTGGGGTGCACTCTGTCATTCGGCAATGGTAGGCTTCAACAATGAATGGGAGCTTTAGCTGTACCAGGTAACCCTTCTGACTGGTTCCCTTTCACATGATGGGGGGGAAAAGTTTAAAAGTACCTTGCCTAAGTGACAGACAACAGGATGGTTTGGTACTTCCTGCAGCCTGACTGATTGTTTTTTCTTTTGAGGTTAAGTTATTATATCTGATATCAAAGCTGTGCATTTTGTTTTCTGTAACACAAGTAGAATTTCTTGTCTTTGTGCACATTGACCAGGAAGGACATGCAGCAGGACCAGAAAGAAGATTATATTATAATTCCAAAACTAGGACCCTTCTGCGCTTCCCTCACCCTACTGATTATATACTAAGGAAGCTACAGATAGCAGACTGGAGATGTATGGTTACCTTGTATCTTCTCAGGACCATATGAGAAAATGAATTCCACTTTTCCGTATTCCGGGAACCTCTCATCTAGGAGAAAAAACATGAATCGGATTATCTTGGGAGCAAACATTATGGTAGAGAATAATATGAATTTTTGTCAAAATGATATTAAAAAAAGTTCATATTTTAGTTCTACTATATAATTTAGGTAAGGGTAAACATGTCACTTTACAGTAAGAGGTTTCTATGCTTAGGTCCTCGGGGAAGAGATATAAACAGCTTTAATGTTGAAAAACCCTTTTAGTTTCAGGTATCATAGGAAAGGCATTCGTGAGTCGAATGTTTTTTTTTTTAAAGGGTGATATTTTTATCACCCATAAGGCAAACCAGCCATGGAGCACCAGTCCTCCCACTGACACCAATGATAGAGCACTATTCCTCCCACGGGCACCAACAATGGGGCACTACTTCTTCCACTAACAAGTAGTTAGGGCACTATTCTTTCCACTGGCACCAAAAATGGGGCACCATTTCTCATCCCTTACACCAATGATGGGGCACCATTCCTCCCCCCTGATACAAATGATGGGCCCAATTCCTCCCAGTGACACCAATGACGGGGAACTATTCCTCACTGGCACTGGCACCAACAATGGAGCACTAATTCTTCCACTAACAATGATGGGGCACCATTCCTCCCAATCACACCAATAGGGGGGAACTATTCCTCCCACTGACACCAATAGTGGGGAACTATTCCTCCCACTGACACCAATAGTGGGGAACTATTCCTCCCACTGACACCAATAGTGGGGAACTATTCCTCCCACTGACACCAATAGTGGGGAACTATTCCTCCCAATCACACCAATAGTGGGGAACTATTCCTCCCAATCACACCAATAGTGGGGAACTATTCCTTCCACTGACACCAACGATGGGGCACTATTCCTCCCACTGACACCAACGATGGGGCAATACTCCTCCCACTGACACCAACGATGGGGCAATACTCCTCCCACTGACACCAACGATGGGGCAATACTCCTCCCACTGACACCAACGATGGGGCAATACTCCTCCCACTGACACCAATGATGGGGAACTATTCCTCCCATCGGCACCAACAATGGAGCGCTGTATCTTCAACTGATGAGGGCATTTTTTTACTCTCAATCACTCCAGGCATGTTTTACTCCTATTAACCATGGTACGGCACCCCAATAGTCTGCTGAACAGTGAACTGACCCCTTTGTTTAAAACGTTTGACGACCCCTAACAATATATGTACATATGCACACACAAACACCATACACGACTAAGCAGCATTGTTGCCTTGTACCCCCTGTGTTCTGGATTTTGCCACTCTCACAACACAAGAACAGACTGGCAGATTACCCGGCTTCTTTGGACCAAATTAGTTCTATTGATTTTATGTTTAGCGTGTTTGCACTGGTATGCATGAGGAAGGACTATCAGCATTGTTATATAAAACACAAAATACAATAAAAGGAGTCACAGTTGTTAATCTGCAGAGGCAGGAAGCTGAAACAAATTGCTACAAATGTTATATGTATTTTATAAAGAGTGATTGTATCAGCTCTGCCATTGCAGCCAATATACAGATTATCATCAGGCTATTTAGGAGCCGCCTCCATCCGCTGCACGACTGTCTGCACCATTATTGATATTCCTGCATCAGCTCCGGTAGCTACCAGTAAACTCAGCAGTAGGGCCGGTAGCGAGGGGAGCAATCAGCAATTTTGGCATCCGGTATGGATGAAGCATTAAACTTAAAAGGGACGGGTCTCTCACGTGAGGTCCTGTGGGAGAATGAAGGATTGCTGCTGGATGCAGCTTCAGAGCTAATATTGGTTGCAGGTCAAAGGTCGCAGGCTGACGGCATCATGTTAAACCCTATCTGTGTCACAGGAACAGGTGCTAAATGACTGAAGTAAAGGACGGGAGCTTATTTTCATGTCAGCACCTAATATAACATATCGGTTTTCTCATTGTGTGGTGCTACTACAGGGACAGAGAGGGACATTTGGTGGCATTTAACCAACTGAGGCCTGCACCAAAAGGACAGAGAAGCTGTGCATTCCACTTTCCTCCTTGCATTGCCCAGATGAAGCATTGGCAGGTGTATATATTCAAATGTCCTTGATTTTGGGTGTTATGACTCCCTAAGACTGGCTTTGGGTATTAGGACTCCCTGGCTTTGGGTATTAGGACTCCCTGGCTTTGGGTATTAGGACTCCCTGGCTTTGTGTACTCCCTTACTATGAGCCACAGCATACTGAGCTGAGCGGCTTTTGATTTGTGCTCTGGCATGCCAATATCACCATAGCTCTGGGGTTCAGACCATACCTGATGGAGTTGGATTAATCCTGGTTGCTCCTCCTTGAACAAGCCTACTGGCTTAGACATTGGCCCAAACACCACCCTGACATTGCATTTACTTCAACAGGATGGACTGGGAAATACAAGACACCGCCAGTCTTTAGCTTTGAGTGACGGACCAGTGTCATTTGACCAACTCCCCCTAGTCAAGGATCAGCTGCCAGTAAGGGATCATCATGGCAACATGGGTTCATTGTATTACCACACTATAGGAGTTCTTTTTATAATAGACGAGTACAGGAATGTCCTATAGTTGTCAGCACCATCTAGGGGAGCTAGGGCCGTGTACCTGGGCTATACACTGGACGGTACCTCTAAATGTTGCTCAGACTTAATTACGTGACACCATGCATTCTAGATAGAAGGACCCAGCCCACTGCTGCAACCGGAGAAGAGGAAGCATCCGTTATGTCATTGGATAGGCCAGAGAGCCCTTGGAAAAAAGGCATATATAGGTAAACTCCCTGGCTTTGGGTATTAGGACTCCCTGGCTTTGTGTACTCCCTTACTATGAGCCACAGCATACTGAGCTGAGCGGCTTTTGATTTGTGCTCTGGCATGCCAATATCACCATAGCTCTGGGGTTCAGACCATACCTGATGGAGTTGGATTAATCCTGGTTGCTCCTCCTTGAACAAGCCTACTGGCTTAGACATTGGCCCAAACACCACCCTGACATTGCATTTACTTCAACAGGATGGACTGGGAAATACAAGACACCGCCAGTCTTTAGCTTTGAGTGACGGACCAGTGTCATTTGACCAACTCCCCCTAGTCAAGGATCAGCTGCCAGTAAGGGATCATCATGGCAACATGGGTTCATTGTATTACCACACTATAGGAGTTCTTTTTATAATAGACGAGTACAGGAATGTCCTATAGTTGTCAGCACCATCTAGGGGAGCTAGGGCCGTGTACCTGGGCTATACACTGGACGGTACCTCTAAATGTTGCTCAGACTTAATTACGTGACACCATGCATTCTAGATAGAAGGACCCAGCCCACTGCTGCAACCGGAGAAGAGGAAGCATCCGTTATGTCATTGGATAGGCCAGAGAGCCCTTGGAAAAAAGGCATATATAGGTATTTTTAAATTCAGAGTACAGCTTTAAATGGCAGCCGTCCTTTCACAAGGTGTTATTTCTCCTAATATATCCTGAAACACCAATCAACGTAATAATATATAAACCTTCCACCCACCCCGGCCTTTCTTTCCTTGTACTCTGAGAGCTGTGATCATAGACCCATACCAGAGTATACATTGCATTGTTTACATGCAGCTTGTCGGCGGTCCACACTGAAGTGAAGAGAGCAGATGGTTTGCACTAAGCTTAATGAATAAAGTAAAACCTTGTTTGGTGCAATCGTGTGCGATCACAAATTCAGAATTGAAGCCCTGATGAAGGGGGTGGGTTTGAACCAATGAAACACATTGGATTTTTCTTCTAACCTCTTGCCATTAAAATAAAAATGTTACTGGACTCACTTTAGATCTGTAGCGCTCTTATCGTTTGTATATTCTCCAGACTACTCCAGGGATACCCCAGTTGACAGAGAGCTGCCTCTAAGTGTTGGATTCTAAGCCTGATTTGGTCTACCCTTGGATCCAGTGCTCTACCAACACAGCCTTGCACAGAACAGGTTTCAGGAGGTTCTAAAGTCAGACATTTGGACTCATTCACTTGGAAAGATGTTTATCTCAGAGCACATTAAATGGACTCTACCTTTAAAGGCTTCATCCAAATCTTCCTTTCCGAACACGATCCCAAGATCATGGATAGCACACGTGTGAAACTGCACACGGAACATTATATCTCGTGCTGGGCTGCGGAACTTCTTGTGGTAACACTTCAGCTGTAGAAACAAGATAAGGGACCCAATGAAAGGTTGGCTAAGGACATGCAATACAAACCTGATGTACCCCGAATGAACATTCAAACACTCAGGGACCGAGGATGGAGAGGGTGTGAAGAAGGCAACCATGTAGATTCTTCAGTTCCTGCTCCTGGACCCCACATGAGCATTGAAAAGAAGAATCTCATTGGCTTCTAGAAACTAAAGTTTAGCCTAAATTTCAGGTGATGTTACATTTAAAATCAAAGTGACAAGTTCGGATGATCAAATCTAAATGTTGTTATTTTTAGAGGTTCGGATTTCCTGAAGTCTTCTGGGAGAAATGGGCCCAAGGCTTCTTCCCTATAGAGTATCTGCTTCTCCTGATGTCTGGGTTTCCTTCACTTGACTGCCAGTGCCAACGCCCTTCCCCCTTACATAGTTACATAGTATTTGTGGTTAAATAAAGACATAGGTCCATCAAGTCCAACCCATATAGGTCCACGCATCATCTCATTCTTAGGGATACTGGTATCCCTGGATATTACGGTCCCTCAAGAAATTGTCCAAACGTTTCTTGAACAAATCTACACTCTTGGCTGAGATGACGGCCGATGGCAGTGAGTTCCAGGCCTTACCGCTCTTACTGTAAAGAACCCTCTTCGCCCCTTGTGCTGGAATTTTTTCTCCACCAACTTTAGGTGGTGGCCTCTAGTCTTTGTAATGGAGTTAATCTCAAACAGTTTGTTGCCAATGTTGCTGTCACCATTGAACATCTTGTACATGAAAATCATATCCCCCCTTAATCTCATTAATTCCAGCGTAAACATGTTTAAGGTCAGAAGCCTTGTCTCATAGCTCTGGTCATCCATTCCCCTAATTAGTTTGGTTGCCCTCCGCTGGGCTCTCTCCAGTTCAAGGACATCCCTTCTCAGTACCGGCGACCAAACCTGGTCATATCCCTGGTCAAATTTGTAAAGGAAATGGCTCAGGCCGCTTTTTGGCCCCATCATCTCGTCATAAGTGGTCAAAGCTGCCAGGAGCTTCCCCAACCATTCTGTACAATTCTTCATCATTAACCGCTCTGTGATAGGCAATTTTTTGTAGAGTTCCTTTGACTTCATCGTGAATTCTGGATCATACATTTTGAATTTTCGAGGTTTTCAAAAAAAATTTTGAAGGTTTGTCCCAACTTTTCTAAAGTTGACTCATGTCTACTAGAAACGCTCCTTTCCTCTTCCTTCATCCCAGCTTTCCAGGTTGCTAAGAGCTGGGCAGAGACATGTCTATGACCTTTACATCAGGGACGTGCGGTCAGTGGCGGTCAAGTCTGAAGCTGACAGCTTTTTCTCCATTCAGATCGGCTTGTTACAGGTTACACAGCAGGGAAATCCTCCCCACTGTGTAACCCGTCATGGACGGAGCGCTGGATGTTAATTACAGGCGGCGCTGCATCCGGCTTTTGACAGGTAGTTAGGTTACACAGCAGCGGGCTTCCCCACTGCTTGTGTAACCTAACATGGTGAGGCAAGAGCTGTCACAGACTCTACTCTGTGTTAGAGGTGTGAGCTCTGTGGATGACTTGGACCAATGGCAAAGCACTATTGGTCCAAGCTGTCCAATCAAAAAAAAGAAAAACCAGTGAGGCCATCGATCTCGATGCCTTACCAGTGACGAGCAAGTGAGGGACAGGGAGGCTCCTCCCCACACAGCTTGGTTAGCGAGCTGGGGGTGGGGCCTCAGCGGGATGGGACGCAGCTTCGGCAGGACGGGGCGGAGCTTCGGCGGGCTAGGGGAATGCCCCACCCAGCACAGAAGGCACGGCACGCCACTGCTTTACATATCTCCCTGCCCAGCTCTTAGCAACCTGGGACGCTCTGGCCGGAAAGGGGCCTCATTATAGGGACGGCCCTGCTCTGTGTATAAATGTACATAGAGCCTCTTGTTATCATGATCTATAACAGACTTGCTAAATATGAAGACGGAGAGCACAGATGATCATCTTACCAGGATGTCGCCCTTCAGTAGCAGCCCGGGTTCTATGGTGATACAGATGCTGGTCTGGCTGTCTCCCTGCACGTTGCTAATTGGGGGACAGAAATAAAAAAATCTGTTACAATGTAACACAATCCATTGAGATCCGTCTTTGGTCATTTCCTACTCTAGTTTGCAAAATACTTCCTTACACATAGAATACATCAGGGGTAGGCGACATGAGGCATAGCAAGACTCTGCCAGCCATAGGCATGGCTCTGAGAGGCAGAGACATGATGGGATATGTTGTCCCAAGGTTGCCTATTCCTGGAACACATTGATGGACACATAGTGCCAATAAGGGGTGAACTATGCTACAGATCCTCATCTCAGTGGCGGAACTACCAGGGTCGCAGAGGTCGCGGCCGCGACCGGGCCCTGGAGTTCCGCCACTTGGAGGGGGCCCAGCACAGGAGGACGGGGCCTGTAGTAACCGCTGATTACCAGGATATTTATTATCCCGGTAACCGCTAATATCAGTCCCGAAGGGAGAGTGTTTTGTTTTTTTTCCTTGTCTAAATTTTGTTTAAAAAAAAAAATCTAAATTTCGGGGGGGCATGGCCTTCATGGATGCTTGCATTGGGGCCCTGGGGTCACTAGTTACGCCACTGCCTCCTCTCATTATTGAACTGCACTGTGCAATTTGGGGGAATGGACAGACAGTCTTTCACTTCTATGGCAAGGGTTGGAACCCCGCTCTGTTTTTATTTTTATAGCTGCTTTGGGGATTCCCCGCTCTATTTGTCCTGGCCACCATTGTCACTAGTACAGAAAGTGATGGGAAATCCAACTTTTCTCAGCTGTCACCGGAAGAGGTAAAGGGGAAATCCTCTAAGGGGACACTTGTTTCTGGGAAGTGAATTCCCCTCACTTTGGAGAGAATCCCACTCACTTCCTGTTACATCTTCAGGACAGGATGTAAAGAGAAATCTCTCCAATGGGTCATAGACACCAGCGTTTTGTTCCCTATTCCAATAAAAAAAAAAGTTTTGTCTTCAGAGTTGCCTGCCTATATTATCCTTCAGTAACACAGAGGACTCATTAAATGGTTGTGGAAAATTTTCCTCAAGAAAGACAAGATGGCTGATGGGACACCAGATGCAGTGCCTATGGACACCTCCTAGGATAGAGGTCACAGGGGACAGGGAGAGAACGGAAAGCAGCAGGAAGTGAATAAGAGGGGGGCGTGGGAAAGAATGTCCGAACATTGTAAACAAACCAAATATGTGGGAACCGGCGAGAGGGATGAACGGTTAAAAACAAAATAATGTTCTGAATCTAAAAATATATTGCTGAAGAATAAATAAGCGAAAGCAGAGGGGGAGGAGGAGGGAGGGGGGGGAGGGGGTCGGCTTAGTTTAGGAATGAGGAAAATACTATCGGGACAATAGGACTGAAATCATGATTGTGGTGAGGAAGACAACACCTGACCGATCTGTCGCATTGTATAAAGTGGACAAGACTCCATATGTTAGCAGGACACTTGTACAAATGATAATGTATGAGGGTGGTTATGTGTCGCCCTCTAGTGGCTACAAAACAGATCAGCACTTTCCTGATAGAACCTTAAGAAAACCAGCAAATTGTTCCAGTACACAGTTGTGAGCTGAAATAATCCCAGTTCTGTTCACACAGTCTTGTGATTCACATAATTCTGCCAGAATGCCCAGCCAGCAGATGACTATTAGGCCTCATTCACACGAGAAAAGGCCGGCACGTACAGCTCCATGCTGCGTGCACGGCCATATCGGGCAGCTCCCGGGAAGGACAGGTGCTGCGTGTGATTAGTATGCAGCCCCGTCCTTCTCTATGGGACTATGCGGCCGTACGCCGCCCTATGCTCACCCGCCCTGCACGTCCGTGCGGGTGTCCATAATTATATGCTGACAGGATGTATCCTGTCTGCGTTCAAGCAGGGACACCCGCACCCGTACGGACCTGTACTCATTCACTTTATATCATTAAAAGCCAACACACTTTAGGGCTTCAAAGGGCTCTCCTTCCCCAGGGCCCTCCTTCCCCAGGGCCCTCCTTCCCCAGGGCCCTCCTTCCCCAGGGCCCTCCTTCCCCAGGGCCCTCCTTCCTCAGGGCCCTCCTTCCCCAGGGCCCTCCTTCCCCAGGGCCCTCCTTCCTCAGGGCCCTCCTTCCCCAGGGCCCTCCTTCCCCAGGGCCCTCCTTCCCCAGGGCCCGGTGTTGTTGAACAAAGTGTGCATTGGATTGATAGAACTGGAGGGATCCTGAGGGGGAATTACTCTGATGATCAGCATATGGAGGGATCATCATACTAATTATCACTCGGGATCCCTACAATTCTATCAGTCCAGTGTACGCTTTGTTCAACAGTACCAAACCCTGACGAAGGGGGACCCTTTGAACCCCAAAACCCTAACCCTAAGACTGTTTAAAATGAAATCTGGATTCTTTATGTTCTGCTTCTGGCACTTTCCTCTTTGCATACCCAATCCCTACTTGAGCCAAGAGCCGACCTCCGGCCACCACTCCCGGGAGAGCCGCCTATGAAGGATCATTCCTTCTACACTGATAAAGACCTGACTGGGGACACCTACTCCAGGTCCCACACCTTTCTTCTTCTCCACTGGAGAGATTTACCCTCACTTCCTGTCCCGGTGACAATGGCTACACTAGACAGGAAGTGAGGAAACATTTGTAACAGGGGCACTGTCCATGTCCCTGTTACAGATGTTCCCCTACTTCCTGTCTGGGGAGACTATTGTCTCTGTAGCAGGAAGTGAGGGGAAATCTCTCTAGTGGGGTCCCAGATAGCATAAAAACCTGTTCGGAGTTGTAATCCTTCCTCGCTCTATCAAAAACTACAAGGAAACATTTCGGATGGACATACACTTTAAGTTCACCTCACCATAATGTGTTTGCATTTATTGGCTCCAAACTAAAAATAAAAGTTGAGAATGGAATTCTACTTTAAATCAGAAATAACCCCCCTTCCCCCCTCCCCCTCTCCCAGCCAAACACATAAAACAAGATAAAATCTTACTATATTCCAGACGTGTAGACGGGCTGCATAGCTTGATAGATCTTCAGAAATGGGCGACAACCTGGGAACGGCACCGGAAAGAGGTCAGAGGTCAATGTGTAATAGTCTACAAGTGTTAGATTGTCAGCTCTTCAGCACAAAACCTAAATGAATAAACTCGCACTTGTTGGGATCTCGCTGCAAATGTCAAACCAGCGTGTCATTGGGGTGTATGCAGCTCTCTTACCCTAAAGTGTATGTACACCCAGGGCCGGTGCGGCCACCAGGCAAACTAGGCAGCTGCCTAGGGCACAGCCTCGACCAATCACCACTGAGACGCCGCAGCTGAAGCGGATCTCGACAATTGTGCTGGGATCCGCCCAGCTGCGTGACTGACAGCTGGCTCTGCCTATCTAGAGGCAGAGCCAGCTGTACCGCCCCCTCCCCCGTCTGTTCCGCCAGTCAGCGCTGGCACATCGGAGCGGGGGGAATCCATCCCCTCCCCTGTCACGGCAGAGAGCTGTGACAGGATCGAGAGGTCAGTGAACGCCGGTATGTGTTCGCTCACCTCCCGATCTACTGAGCCGACCTGTGACAGTCTCATTGTCACAGGTCGGCTAGAACTATGAGGTGACTGAAAAGCACCCCCCTCATACTTCTCCTTTAATAGCCAGTCTGGCATTGGCTATTTAAAATAAAAACAACCAATAGCAGTCTGGCTTTTGCACCCGGCTGCTTAATATTCTATCACCGGCCTTGTATAGACCCAATAACAGAAATATAATGTATCACAATTTACCAGTCATTAGATGTTCTGCCTTTATTGTCAAACTTCTTGTCCTAGAGTGACAACACTTACTCACTGTACTGTATCTACGAAGCAGCGTTGTCACCCAAGGACAGGACAATACAACACCTCCACCCTCTCTTCTCCATAACAGAGGGGAATGTTCTGTACTCCACCAAGGGGAACCAAATGGTTAATAATACTTGAGAGGAGACGGTAGAGAACACAGGAGAGCATTGGATTTCTGGCAACAGGTATCTAAAATTAAAGGGCCACACCGCGACATTCAAGTCCAGAGATGGGCAGAGGTGGAGTCCAATGGAGACATTTGACTTTGTTGGTTGATGAGACGACTTACCTCCTTTGGACTCGAAGTTGGGTATACCGTGCATGATGACGTGGTGGAGGAACAAGGGCTTGTTATTCATCTTGATGCCGCCGGACAACAGGCCGCTGAAATAATGTATATACCTGCAGACGAGGGAGGGAGACGGAATTCAGGAAAACGATAACGAAAGGAACAACAAAATCCAACAGACGCAGACCACTGCCGACCTACAGAGCTCAGGAACGGGGGTCTGCCATGTAAAGTCTGCCTAAGGGACGGTTCACACCACAAGTGGTCAGCCCCTGGAACGCACTATATTGCAACCTGGCCGGCTCCCTGCGTTCAGGGGTGGAAGGGGGCGTGGCGGTGCATTGAAGTCAATGGCACCGCAGCCATGCCCCCCTGCCCGCAGTGCCATCGCCCGCACCAGAACACATGGCACACTAGTGCCTACGTTGCGGTCCAGTGCCATCTGCAAAAATAGTGCTTGCAGCATTTTTGCAAATCGCGCTGGATCCCACCTCTGAACGCAGACCCCTCTGGAACGCACTGTTTGTGGTGTGAACCGGCCGTAAAACTGAATTCCAGGCAAACCGCTAAATATAAGTATGGGACATGTTTCTGTCCATCCACTTTCACAGCTCTGTCACACAGAACAGTCTTGTCTGGTGGAGCACAAGACCGGTTTTCCTCTGCTGAAGTTCAGTAACACTTACAGGTCTTGTCCCTCCCCTAACCTGTTCAAAAAATTGACAGTGAGAAGCAGCAGGCAGATGAGCTCATGTCTCTGCTCTCTCCTCCCATCAGAATGTTCCTTGCATTGCAGCACAACTGATTGGCTCCTTGTGTTGCTTTTCCCTGCACCGGCCTGAGCTCTGCTGTACAGGGGCTGCAAGAGGCTAATATCAGGTCATCTAAAGATGTATTAATGAATACGGAGCAGCTTGTGCCGAGCTCCGATCCCCACATAGAATTCATGTGATATAAGGCTGCCGGCCTTCACTTTAAAACAATGATTCATCCCACAGAACAGTATGGAGAGCCGGGGGAGGGGGCATGTTAGCTGAGAACAAGGCGTATAAGAAAACTCTTAAAGGATACCGCCCTCTTGTGGCCATGTTGACCTACGCATCACATGGACATCTTTAGTAACAAGATTTAAAGGGGACGTACTCTTTGTAAAGTTCTCACATGCTTTAGATACGACTGTCACAATGTATCAATGTATCTTCATGTTTCACATTGGCTCATTACATAGCATTGTGCTTCCTGCTGTGGGAGTGCAGCACAGTGATGGTGTTATGCCGCCCCTGTTATACAGCACAAGGAAACTGGACACACGTTTTCATCAGAAATATGTATTTGGCATTGACAGGTTTGAACCCCCCGAACTCAATGCAAAACCTCAAACAAGGCAACCAAATTCTAAACCTTAACCCTGTGCAAACCCGGGAACTCAGCTCAGGGATGGTGGGGGCCCCTCATAATGGGCACATCAGGTGTACAGTCCCGGGAACTCAGCACAGGGATGGTGGGGGCCCCTCATAATGGGCACATCAGGTGTACAGACCCGGGAACTCAGCACAGGGATGGTGGGGGCCCCTCATACTGGGCACAGCGGGTGTACAGACCCAGAAACTCAGCTCAGGGATGGTGGGAGCCCCTCATAATGGGCACATCAGGTGTACAGACCCAGGAACTCAGCACAGGGATGGTGGGAGCCCCTCATAATGGGCACATCAGGTGTACAGACCCGGGAACTCAGCACAGGGATGGTGGGCCTCATAATGGGCACAGCGGGTGTACAGACCCGGGAACTCAGCACAGGGATGGTGGGCATCATAATGGGCACAGCGGGTGTACAGACCCGGGAACTCAGCACAGGGATGGTGGGAGCCCCTCATACAGAACTGTGCAGAGGTGTAACCAATAGATGAGGTTGCTTGGAGCTTGGTCCCCTATAACACAATATGACCACAGGGGTACTGACCGCTTCTGCGACGGCTGTGCGACCGGAAGAACCTTGTCTTCATAGAAACGCCTCATTGCAAACCTGTCCAGAGCCTGATCTGCACTGTGGAAGAAGGAAGAGACATTAGAAGGGATTTCGCAGAAGGGCAGAGTATGGTATCACTATTATGCAAGTCTGCATTTTACATAAAACCAATGGCCCTGATTCATCGAGCTGCACTAGCACTTAAAACATGCCTAATAGTGCCTTATGACATGCTAGAGTGGCCTCTCAATCACATTTAAAGCATGCCAATTTAACATGCTCTAGGTAATACTGTGAGCGTGATAAATCAGAACCTAATTGCATATGAGCTGCACAGCACAGTAAGCCGGACCAATATCCTTATCTCAACGTTTGTGCACTGAGCCCCTATGAGCGCCCTCTAGTGGCCGATCTACAAACTCATAGTATTAACTCAATATTAAAAATGCAGACAAGCAAACTTGTGTGGGCCTCAAAAATTAATTCAAACTCTGTATCAATAAACTCAAATATGGCTCGATGAAAATACACTGTACTCCTTCCTTTTGCGGGATTTGCCGCCATTAGTGTACGATAATCGGCAGGTGTATGGGCACCTTTACTCTCAGCTGGTGACTGGACAGTGGAAAGAGGAGCAGCGCAGTGATGAGCTCTTCTCTCTCGGCTCTTTCCTCCTATCAGCATGCTTTTTTGTTAGTACATCAACGGAGTGGCTTCTTGTGCTGCCTCTTCCTCTCACACTCCATCTCTGCTGTACAGGGACCACCAGAGGCCGATGCCAGGTCACGTTCAGGTACTTACACGGCTTGCATTTAATGATGTATTGATGATTACAGAGAGTCATTACGTTGCATCTTTTATATCTGCCTGAAAGTCAGCCTTAAAGCAGAACTTTGTGCATATAAAAATGTAACCCTTGCAGCAGGGCTGACCACCCGACCCCCCCACACCCCTATTTTGGTCAACGGTCTAAAATTAAAAAAAACATAGTCACCTGATCCTCCATCCTGCACAGTGACCACTCACCTCTTCCCCCCCCCCCCCCCCCCCTCCCCATCACATCTAATACAAGTCAATAGATATGTATTACACGTGATGGCATCGGCAGGTCTTAGACCGCTGAAGCCTGGGGGAGAAGAGGCTGTGGGGCCCAGTCTAGCAGCAAGGCGAGACCGGAGTATATCTTTTTTATTTTAGACCCTAGACCAAGATGAGCAGTTAAAGGAGAACTATGGGGTTAAGTCTTTTCCCCATAGTTCTCCTTAGGGTAACAGGAGGACACAAACTAGCATCCTCCCGTCACCCTAAGCTCAGCTACAGCTCGCGGTATACTGAGACGATGCAGCCGGAGCGGATCCCGACATCGATGTCGAGATCCGCCCAGCTGCGTGAGTGACAGCTGGCTCTGCCTATCTAGAGGCAGAGCCAGCTGTACCCGCCCCCTCCCCCGTCCGTTCCGCCAGTCAGCGCTGGCAGATCGGAGCGGGGAGGGGGGAATCCAGCCCCTCCCCTGTCACGGCAGAGAGCGGTGATAGGATCGAGAGGTGAGCGGACACACCAGCATGTGTTCGCTCACCTCCCGATCTACTGAGCCGACCTGGGACAGTCTCATTGTCACAGGTCGGCTAGAACTATGAGGTGAGTGAAAAGCACTCACCTCATAGTTCTCCTTTAACCCTTGGGGGTTCGCCCCACTGCCAGGGTCCATTTATTAGATGCCCTGAGTTCTTCTTTAAGGATAACATTTCTGCATAATCCCAGTGTGACTGGTTCTCAGGTTCAGTGGTTTTCAATAAGCTATAGTCTGTAACGAATTGTATAAACAGAACAGCAGAAACCCTGCGGCCCCTGACTGTGAAGGCTCCACAATTCATAGAAAGTCCAAGGTTTGGGGTCATCGGGGGCCCGTATTTGTAGCACAGGTGAAGACATACACACAATGGATTATCAGAAGCCTGTCTGTGCGGGATACCTGGCAGATATGTTGCTGTAGTGCATGTAAGCCGCGATAACCACTCCGGTGCGCCCTCGATTTCCCTGAAACGAAAGCAACAAAAACTTCAGATGGGCCTTCTGCAAACTTTACCTGACCATACACATTACAGTCTGACTGTGCAATCTGATTTAGTGGGCGGGCCCACCTGACTGGACACGTGTTCCTTTTTCCTGGTTACATGGGTGGAGAAAAAAGAGCCATTACACGGTTTGATGGGCTCGGCGTTTTATTCATGCCAACTGCCCTGGATTGGTTGGGACAGTCCTGCATCTTGGACCTCAGTCCTGATTATGTGTCCTGGGCCATGTCCGAGGATCACAGTGTCACCCTTATTGGAGACACTGCACAGTAACTCAATAAGGCGTTCATATTGTGATTGGGTGCCGCAAGTGGGCAGGCCGGAGTTGGGCGGGCCACCCCAATAAGTGGGAAGGGTCTGGGGGGGGGACCGCCCTGTCACTTGGCGGGCCTGAAGCAAACTATGGGCTGGGTTAAATGTATCCCGGGGATCAGGATTAAAAAGCGGATATGGATATAGCAAGAGGAAATCAAGTTGTCACTGGAACAAGTGTCTCCCCCAAGTGTCCCCCATTGGTAACATTTTTGGATTTCCCATCACGTTCTGTCCCAGTGACAATGGCCAGCTGGACAACAATAAGATAATCAGTACACAAACTATCCAAACCTGGAGAAGTTAATTGACCGTGTTCAGGGTTTTTTCTGTTTTTGTATTTAGGTTCTTGTTGGGTGAAAGTATTAAAAAAAAACATAACATAAAAACCTAAAAGGGGGTAAAGGTACCTTGTTGTGGATGACGACAACATTGTGGGGGTCGGCATTCAGCCACGTGTCCATGGCTTTACAAATACTGCACACCTTCTCCAGCGCCGGGGCATGGAGGTCCGGCCACCCGAAATCCAACACCTGCACGGAGAGAAGAGCCAACACGCTGACATTGAGAAGAATTCCGAGATATAAAAATAACATAAAGATAAGATTTTCTCTAACTTCCTGTCCCTGGGACACCATGAAATGAAGCGGAGGTCACAGAGAGCAATGAAAGGCCCTCAGCCTTCCCCCGCTCTATCCAAAATTAAATAAAAAGATCTAACTGGTGTTGGGCTGCATTTGCCGGCCTCTTTTTCTAAGTTCTAGCTCCTTGGTGGTGATGCTTACTGTATGCAATGGCTTCCAATCCAAAAATGTACCTGATCTGTGTACTAATGCCACCATTAAATAAATGTAGGGCTGGTAATTATTCAAATTTTTGTGTTCGATTAATCAAAATGTTTTTTAATCGATTAATGATAACGCACATACAGATCCAACTACATTGGCCTATACACATACAGCACAGCAATGAAGTAATAAAATGAACTAGGATCACACTAATCCAGCACGTTATTTATCTCACGTGCCCCACTCAATATGGCCGCCGCTTGAGTGGGGCAACTCAGATTAATAACGTGCTGGATTAGTGTGATCCTAGTTCATTTTATTACTTCATTGCTGGGCTGTATGTGTATAGGCCAATGCCTTGGCTGGCGCTCGTGCAGAAAGTTTCTTGGGCAAACTCACCGGCCCAAGTAGCTCCGTCGGCTAACGAAGGGGGGAGGAGTCCGGTGACGTCACGGATATGGACGTCACCGGACTCCTCCCCCTCTTCCCTTCGTTAGCCGTCACGGACATCGACGTCACCGGACTCCTCCCCCCTTCCCTTCGTTAGCCGTCACGGACATCGACGTCACCGGACTCCTCCCCCCTTCCCTTCGTTAGCCGTCACGGACATCGACGTCACCGGACTCCTCCCCCCTTCCCTTCGTTAGCCGTCACGGACATCGACGTCACCGGACTCCTCCCCCCTTCCCTTCGTTAGCCGTCACGGACATCGACGTCACCGGACTCCTCCCCCCTTCCCTTCGTTAGCCGTCACGGACATCGACGTCACCGGACTCCTCCCCCCTTCCCTTCGTTAGCCGTCACGGACATCGACGTCACCGGACTCCTCCCCCCTTCCCTTCGTTAGCCGTCACGGACATCGACGTCACCGGACTCCTCCCCCCTTCCCTTCGTTAGCCGTCACGGACATCGACGTCACCGGACTCCTCCCCCCTTCCCTTCGTTAGCCGTCACGGACATCGACGTCACCGGACTCCTCCCCCCTTCCCTTCGTTAGCCGTCACGGACATCGACGTCACCGGACTCCTCCCCCCTTCCCTTCGTTAGCCGTCACGGACATCGACGTCACCGGACTCCTCCCCCCTTCCCTTCGTTAGCCGTCACGGACATCGACGTCACCGGACTCCTCCCCCCTTCCCTTCGTTAGCTGTCACGGACATCGACGTCACAGGACTCCCCCCCCTTCCCTTCGTTAGACGACGGAGCCACTTGGGGAAGGGGGGAGGAGTCCGGTGACGTCGATGTCCGTGACATCACCGGATCGCCGACGGGACTCCCGGAAGCCGGCGGAGAGGTGAGTGTTTTCATTAGCCAACAAAATAATTTTAATCGATCAAAAAGTTTAAAGTGACATTAACCCTCAGATTTTTTAACATAAAACAATACTGTAATGTGCGCCTTACTGTAATCCATGGTAGTTTCCCTTCTCTTTGGTGCTCTTCCTTTTAAATCTGTATCTGTTCTCATGCTTGGGGAGAACTTCTGTTTTGCAGCAGACTGCCTTGTCTCAGGAATGGATACATGGTGTCTGTGTGTAGGTTTGTATAGGTTTGTAACCTGAGCCAGCACTACAGGAAGAGGCCCTGAGCTGCAAAGGGAAGTTCTCCCCAAGCATGAGAAGACATGAGGATTTAAAAGGAAGAGCAGCAAAGAGAAGGGAAACTACCATGGATTACAGTAAGGCGCACATTACAGTATTGGTTTATGTTAAAAAATCTGAGGGTTTAATGTCACTTTAACGATTAATCGAGAAATTAATCTTTAATTTCCACAGGACTAAATAAATGCTCATAGTAAAAAGCACACTGAGGTTGCTCATAGTTTTGACTGGCATCCCAAAGCACATTCAGAATGCACCTGTGTTGCAGTGAACTGCCAAAAACGCAGAAGGACCTACATTTTTGTGCATTGAGATGCATTACAACTCATTCTATTTAAATGGACCACCTGATGCAGTGCGCCTCAAGCCATGAAGCTGTGTGTGCTGCCGAACATTGCTATCAGGAGTATAATGGGCTCTGATTAAAAATTGATTGAGGTTATGGATCAGTTGATCAGTTTTGAAGAGCGAAGACAAAGGAAACATGTAAAATGTGGCACGGGTAATCAAGGACGGCTCTTCTTTGCCCAGCCATGGAGCGATTATCCTTCTCCGTGTAGCACACCAGCATCCAGCACGTCTAATCTAATCTGTCTGTCATGGAGACGGTCTGCAGATACGGCTATGACGTCATCACTGCAGTGGCGGCCATTTAGTACAGTTCCTCAGATGTAATACGTTGTTAATTGGAGGATTTATAATTGGAGGTAAGAACAATCCTTCTAACGCAATACGTCAGAGAACAGCCCAGAGCACCGAGTCACATTTCCTGCCAGGATCTACAGCAGCCATACATCCTAATGCCCTAATCTAATGAGCAGACTCCATGACTGCTCCGGTAATATGAATTGATATAAACCAGTTAGAGGCAACTTGCATCCTTCCAGCCATAGAAAAATTAAAAATACCAGCGTGCCCTGTCAACGCCACGGTTGAGTGGAAGGGTGTGGTGGGACTTGCAGTTCCTCAAAAGCTGTAGGGCTGGAAGTTGCTTCTTGGACCAGCCTGGGTCCCACCAAGCCAGATTCTACAACACGGATGCCACTAAGCCTTATTAAGTCACAACATTTAGGCCTCATTCTATCTCAGTACAATATTCATGTCGTATTCATAGTGATGGTCAGGCCTCAAACTATCACAATACAGTTTCAGATCTGTCTAAATCCATCACATTCTGGTCTCCTTGAAGCCTGACTCTACTACATTGGGTATCAATATGGTTTCTAGACTTTTCTATCACAACATGGCTTCTCTCTTTCTTCTATTTGTTCTAAAATGGCTTCTAACCAGGCCTGGTTCTACCACAACATGACCTCTATAAGGCCTCATTCTGTCAACTCATGGCTTCCATGAAGCCTTATTCTACCACTGCATGGCTTCTATAAGGCCTTAGTCTGACTCAGCTTGAAATCTGTAAAGTTAATGTGACCAAAACATGGCTTCTATCAGGCCCAATTTTACCACAATATAGCTTTTGTCAGAACTCCTCATACCAAAACATTGTTTCCATAAGGCCTCATTCAATTACAACATGGCTTCTTTCAGGACTTGTTTTACAACAACATGGCTTCTATAAGGCCTCATTCTACCACAACATGACTCATATAATGCCTTATTCTACCACAACAATGCTTCTATAATGTCGCACTCTATCACAACATGTCCTCTAAAAGGTCTTATTCTAGCAAAACATGGCTTCTACCAGACTTCATTCTACCGCAACATGGCTTCTATCAGGCCTCACTCTACAAAAACATGGTTTCTATCAGGCCTCACTCTACAAAAACATGGCTTCTATCAGACTTCATTCTACCGCAACATGGCTTCTATCAGGCCTCACTCTACAAAAACATGGTTTCTATCAGGCCTCACTCTACAAAAACATGGCTTCTATTAGGCCTCACTCTACAAAAACATGGTTTCTATCAGGCCTCACTCTACAAAAACATGGTTTCTATCAGACTTCATTCTACCGCATGCTTCTATAATGTCGCACTCTATCACAACATGTCCTCTAAAAGGTCTTATTCTACCAAAACATGGCTTCTATCAGACTTCATTCTACCGCAACATGGCTTCTATCAGGCCTCACTCTACAAAAACATGGTTTCTATCAGGCCTCACTCTACAAAAACATGGCTTCTATTAGGCCTCACTCTACAAAAACATGGTTTCTATCAGGCCTCACTCTACAAAAACATGGTTTCTATCAGACTTCATTCTACCGCAACATGGCTTATATCAGGCCTCACTCTACAAAAACATGGTTTCTATCAGGCCTCACTCTACAAAAACATGGTTTCTATCAGGCCTCACTCTACAAAAACATGGTTTCTATCAGGCCTCACTCTACAAAAACATGGTTTCTATCAGGCCTCACTCTACAAAAACATGGCTTCTATCAGGCCTCACTCTACAAAAACATGGCTTCTATCAGGCCTCACTTTACAAAAACATGGCTTCTATCAGGCCTCACTCTACAAAAACATGGCTTCTATCAGGCCTCACTTTACAAAAACACGGCTTCTATCAGGCCTCACTCTACAAAAACATGGCTTCTATCAGGCCTCACTTTACAAAAACATGGCTTCTATCAGGCCTCACTCTACAAAAACATGGCTTCTATCAGGCATCACTTTACAAAAACACGGCTTCTATCAGGCCTCACTCTACAAAAACATGGCTTCTATCAGGCCTCACTTTACAAAAACATGGCTTCTATCAGGCCTTACTCTACAAAAACATGGCTTCTATCAGGCCTTACTCTACAAAAACATGGTTTCTATCAGGCCTCACTCTATAAAAACATGGCTTCTATCAGGCCTCATTATACCACAATATGGTGTCTCTTTGGCCTCATTCTACCACAATATAACCACCACTAAACCTTATTGTGCCGGAACACAGCCCCCCTCCCCCCAGGCCTCATTCTCACCAGAGGACCACACATACTGCCACAAAATGGATTTAATGGGTCACAGTCTTCCATATCATGGCTTCTACATGGCCATCTTTGATCTGAACCATCATTAGGAAACAATTTCCAGAGTAAATCTCACCTTGGGATGGAGTTTGTTGATATCATGTCTCTTCTCAGACAGATTGAAGATCTAAACCCATAAACAGAGAACGGTTAGACACCATACCGGGTTCTACATTCATCTCGGAGATCTTCAATGAGAAATGTGGCACTTTGTTTGCTCACCAGGTAATTGTCTCCATGTTTGGACTTCAGCATATGTGCCACCTCTTTAAGGTTCCGGCAGAAAGTGGCCTCATCCGTCCCTGGGGAGAACGTGACGGAGATGATCCGCTCGGTGATGTAGGTGAGGTCGAGTTCACAGCTGTCCTCCATTGCGTGAATAAAGCTTAAACTCCTGTAAGAGTAGAGAGGACAAGCCACACTGAACTCCGGGAAATTAAATACAGAGCTGAAACATCGAAAATAGGAATGAAGAACATGAGATTCGGCTTTATTATGGGTTTTTTTTTGCCTTCCTCTGGATGCATTATATAGCTATATACCCCCCTTCTCCAACCAGGGCTGTCATCGCTACTGTGCGAATGGCTAAGATATTTCATTCCAGCCAATCAACAGTTTACAAAAAAAGGCTTGAGCAGGGGCCATCAAAGAAAGCTTAAGGATACATTCCTTGCTCTGACCATAAATAGGCAAGAGTAAGCAAAAGTTCTTCATGGCAGTTACCATAAAGTGAACCTCTATGGGCACAAATGTGAGACATGTTCTTTATGACACACCAACTCCAAGTGTGTGTAATGATCCGCCTTGAACCTGTGCCACCTGCTGGCTATTACTCAGCATTACCACTTGTAGACTCTACACACCTGACCTCATTAGTGAACTTTAACATGGCCAGATCTTCAAGCATATGCCTGATCAACAGGTTTCTTGCTCATTTCCTGATGAAGCTCTGTCTGTCTCTCACTTTCTGCTTTGTTTGTCTGTGTTTGTACTCTGTCTGTGCTTAACCTGATCATTGGACTTTTACCATTGCTAGTGTCCATATTGCTTCATTTACCCCTCTGGAATCGGGACTCTGTTTTCCCTCCCCAGTGAGGTATGGAACCTTGGATTCTTATTTGTCTGTCCTTGATCATCAGTGTGCCGAATCTGCAACGGTCTGCTATTTGCTCTGACTGTCTAAAAAACCTACTCTGTTCTAGCATCTTACCTCTACACAGGCTCCTCCCCCCTTCAGTCTATCATGAATGCAGTTGCTAGACTCATCCACCAAACCAAAAGCTCAGTGTCTGCAACCCCTGCACTGGCTTCCATCCCCTGCCCCCTCTGCCAATCCCTCCACTGGCTTCCATCCTCTGCCCCCCTCTGCCAATCCCTGTACTGGCTTCCATCCTCCAAAGGATAAAATTCAAAATAATAACAACCACTTACAAAGCCATCCACAACTCTGCCCCCAGTTAGATCTCCAACCTTGTCTCAAAGTATCACCCTAACCAGCCCCTCGGCTCTACCAAACAAAGACCTCCTGCTCTCTAGCTCCCTCGTAAACGCCTCCCATGCTCACCTCCAGGACTTCTCTAGAGTCT